GTGTTTGGATGGTGCACACTGTCGTAACCAAATGAACATCTGTTCTACAACAAGGTGCACAACCTTTATTTCCAAATGCCTTTAAAAAATATACTTTATATAGTTTTCTGAACCCTTCTACTTTGTGGAGACTCTCAGGAAGATCTATCATGCTTACTGTCCTAAGAAGAGGAATCAACTGATAACACTAGAGTATCACTTCCAGTCTGAATGAGTTTTATGCATAACGATATGTGTGCTTGGGACCTAAAACTCTAGTGTGTGTTTGTTTTCCAAATTTGAGCTCAGCTGCCTAAAGGCAAGTCCCTGTAGACTTAACCCGTCTTTCCTTGTCTTTAGGCTGCAGCTAACAGAGGATAAAGCCTTAATATTGTGGAACAGGCAGAGCTGCCTTCGAGGCTAGGAGTGGTTAATCCTAAAATCGAGTTAAGGTTGATCATGACAGAAGCGGCCCAGTCTAAAAATGCAGATTCTTACTGCAACATCTCCAAGGGGCTTTAGTTCCTATTTATAGCATTTTTCATTTCATCTTTCCTGATAGGAAAAGATGAGTCACTAAAGATAAAATGGAATATAGAGTTCATCAGCATATTACCGTTAATGGAATGAGTGAGCCCAGCTGACCAAGTTATTAACAGCTTTTGCAGTTTTCAGACTCATTCATTGCCCACCTGACATCTCAGCTATTTTCATGACAGAGCTATGTTAGCCACGTATACAAACAATAATTTATCCATTGCACTTAGTGGCTTCTACAAAGCCATTACCGAAGCTTGTTTTCTTGCTTGCCTTCCTGCTTACCATCAGCAGACATATGAAGTAAAAAAGTGGATAAACTATAGATTTGCTCCCTGAGAGCACAACAACTTCTGCTGAGTCAGAAGTGTGAGAACAGAGTCAGAAGGGTATAACAATGCAGATGTGTAAACTTTCAAATCAAGGATGTTGTAACTCTAACTTGAAAACACTGAGAACAACTTTTCTTAAATTTTGTAGTAATGCTCTACTTTGACACAGGGATACATCTGACAATTTTAAAGCCAAATTCAGTGTCTAAAGTAATGTGGTTGGCGAGTTAAAAATTGCATAGAAGAAATCAGTTGCAACTTTTTGGTGAAAGAATTTTCTCCTTCCTCAGAAGACCAGGCTTAGATCCTCACTGTCAATTAGACCTTGAATTCCTTAGCAACAAAACCAGCATTTCAAGAGGAAAGGATATAACTTGCTTTGGTATTATGGTCCCTTTACACAGCCAGATTGACCCAGAGTAACACCAGTGTAAACAAAAATCAGATTTACTGCTGTAAATTAGCTTAATTTACATGGTCCTCAGTGAGGCTTTAAAAACAGTGTTTGTTAAGAACAAACGATGTGGTGTGTTTTCAACATTTCTGCAAGTAAATCCTACTCAAACCATATTTATTGATCTAAATAATGCACCAGTGATTTAGTGCTTACCTAAAATGGCATTTTGTATTAATTGGCCACCCTGCTTTCAGAAGTCTGCTCATTAGAAGCCCTGTTTCTCATAAGAGAGAAGAATCGCAGACACTTAAGCGAACCACATAAACATTATCTGAGCTGGAGAAAGAGAATTAGCTGCACTACCATCATGCCAAATGTATTAATATCTGCAAGTCTGTATACCTTTCTCTGTTCCAGGACGAAAGTCCAAGAGATAATGTGCTTAGAGATTCCCATATACTGTAAACAGGCTGCCACAGCTGTTGGCACACAGCACTTGTGGTTTGATACAATTTTTTGGGAAAACCATGCTTCCGAATAACTCACAACAATTTTAAACATTGACTTTAGGGTCTTCTTACCGAGCAGATCCAATCCTTCTAATGTCATTGCTGCCTGATGCCAGAGGCTTAAGCAGAGTAAAACCTGGATCTTCTGAGTGCTCAGACAGTGGTGTATCAGCAGCTCCTGAACTGTCCGCTTGATGGGCAGATTTCTTCTGTTAATGTTGAAGCAGGTTATAAAATCAGCAGCTTATGATTAATTATTGCTACAAGCATATCAGAACTTTTGATTTACAAGACCTCCTCAGAAACTTTTCTTAAGTTTCTATCCATTGTAGGATGGAAACAAAGCAAAAGTCAGTAAAAAGCGCAGTTTCATATGAAATCATAGGGTGCACACAGTGTTGCTAGAGAACTGCGCAGCTCCACCATGGCTAGTGCCAGTGTGGTTGGTTTGTATCCCTAACCCAAGTTTTATCTTGGGTTCAGTGGTCTAGCCTGCATTACTGAGGGATCTGACAGATTCACAATCTCACCATAACCCTGTGAGGGTTTTATATCTATGGGAATTAAATGTCTAAATACTCTAACAAAAAACTGACTGTAAGATACCAGACCACATGAGAAGCCTTTGGCAGGTTAGTGGACTGCCTCTCAACTCCTACGTCTGTGCTCCGGCAATAGTACCACCTTGCCTCTATCAGTTTGCAACACTAGACCATGAAAGTTGAAAACAGTTTTAACATACTAGTCCATAAGGGGCCAACCTTCCCAATTTTTGCATCTGTACAATAAAATTTCCGTATGTCTGAGACCCATCAGACTCATATCTGAGAGATATGGAAGCTTGGAGATCTGAGGGACAGGAAGTTTTTGAAGTGCTTTACAGTGGGAGATGAGAATAACTTACTAGGAGTCCCATCACTCCATGAGGGAATGTGGCTGGGTATCATGGCAGCCTGTTGATGTCGGCCTCCCCTATGCTTGTTTGGTTGCTTCCTTCAGCAGCCAAGGATGCTGAACGCTGAGAAGTCCCTATCGCAGCCCAACCCTTGCTGCCAGTCATGTGGCACAGTCTTGGCACAAAGCCATGTGTGGATGTCATTGATATTTCTATGTTTTCTGTTGCTTGAACAGCTTCAAGAAAAGTTACATACAAACAGGAAAGAAAGTGAAGAGTTAAGAGAGAATTCCTGCTTTATCATTCCATCAGGAGAGACTGTCAGTAGGGCAGGTATTAGTGTCTCAAGCTAGCAATCATCTCACACAACAAGAGAGAAGGAAGTGGAAGAGCAGATCTGAAATGATTACAAAGTGTGCTGCTCAAGTTACTTTCTTCTGACTGTCTACCTGAAGTGTGAGTTGCCCAATCTCTTCTTCCAGCTCTTTAACTTTTGCTTCTCGTTCAGCCAGCATCTGTCTGAGCTGCTCTATAAGGCAGTTTTGTTTCTGAACCTCAGTGTTCAAGTGCTGCTCTAGCATCTGCTGGGACTCCTTGCTCTTCTCGTCCTGCTGGCTCAGGTGCTTTAAGATCTCCTGCATTTGCTTCTGTTGGCTCTGATAAAATAGAAACAATAAGTGAGATCTTCACTTTTGTACACAATGATTATTAAGACTCCCTGGGTGTTTTACACTCTCCAAGACAAATACCCATTTAGGAATGCTAGAGCAAGCCACCGCCCTGCCAAACCCATTCCTTGGTGTAAGCACACTGATGTCACAAGTGCTACTCCAAGAATTTAGTCCACTATGTTTTAAGCGTGAGGTCACCTTGTGTTGTTTTCTGCATCTATCCCTTGAAAAGATGGCACAGCACATCTACTTGCAGTGCCCAAACACAGGTGGCTGGGTAAGGACAGTCTGTCTCCGCTGCTCATATCAAGACTTTAGTGACTGGATGGTGCAAGTAGAAAAGACCTGAGCAACTCAGAGATTCAGTTTGCTGGCAGGTTTGCTCCTGAGTGTAGCAGAAAAGAGACCAAAAAA